GAAAATCACTACCAGATTGAAAATCACCGGATAGTAAGAATCTGAGTCTATTTAATTTTTTTAAAATATTGTCAGAAGCAATTGGTACTCGAAGAGCACAAAGATTTGTAAATTTCAGAGAAGCTAATGTTTTCTCACCTCAAAAATTTTAGTTCCTAACACTACTTTCCCCAAGGAGAAAAGATCTTAACTAACTAAATAAATAACATAGAACAATCTCCTTGTAAATGAAACATGCAAAAGAAAGGGGGGAACCTTTTGAAGTTGCTGCAGTAAGTCATTTCACTATTTAAAAGCCACGGAATTGAGGATTAGAGGGGTTAAGCAGTTTGCCCAAGACCACACAGTCTGGAAGAACAAGGTCTTAGTTTAGAACATAAAGCAATAAAACTCCAAATCCTCGTTAACAAATTGCTGTTTGTATGCAAATGTATTTTCTGTTTCAGAATATGTAAAAATTATAAATAGTGGGACTGGTAAAGAGGTAAGGCACTGACATTTAATAATGCCTCAACTAACCTTGAAGCAAAACTGCCTCTAAAGAGGGGAAAGAGTCTTCATAAAGCTCTTGACCTGGGAGCACCCCTTCTAAAGAACATCAAAAAAGAAAAACTAGAAAAACCCTCCACGGTGAAAGAAAAACACTTTGCAACATGCAAAAGGTGAGTCATGCCAAGTACACAGAGCTGACTGTAGCAAACAGACACAGAAATATTTGGAATGATTAGCATGATGTAGATGAAACTGAGTGTGTCTGTCTGAAGATTGTTCTAAACAGAGACTGAGAATTCTATATGAATTCTATACTTAGCTCCATCCCAGGAAATTCTCAGTCTGGCATGAAGCTGTGTGCCACAGCCTGGGATGAAGACTGGTATGAGAGTTTCAAAAGGATCCGCAGGTGAATCAGAGCAAGGACAATTAAAAAGAACAAGTACACAGCTGTTCAACTCATTTCACCTATAAGTCTCTCCAACACTTTACTGAGAAAATGTTGCGAGTCAACAACCTTGTGGTCACATATTGTCCACTTATCTTGGCTGAGACATATTCCGGGAACAATTCATGTGTCCATGTTTACACTAAGGGAAGCCAGTAAAGTAATGGACAAAGACAGCTACAATTTATATTTTCCCAGATCTGCTCCTTCTACCCTTTGGGGACTCCAGTTTTCCCACATTCCTCCAGAATTATTGTAAGAGAGACTAGAGGCTATTTTCCATGAGCAACTTGGTCTAGATCTTGGAATGACTTTTTCCCTCTCCTACTCCAATTCACTGCGGTTATTGGATATAACTCTGATCACTTCCAATCCACAAAACAGCAACTGTGATGCCTCTGTTTGCTGAAAATGCTGCCACTGCAGTTGAACATGCAGGGGTGTGCCGTTTTGGGGTCATTGTCTAATGTACAAGGCAATGTGTCTTTTATCTGATTTATGTATCAGATGACCAAGGTTCAAACTCCAACTTTTTCCCATTCACTAGGTATATTAATACTGACATAAGTTTGTGTATTTATCAAATAGAAATTTTAATAGCCTTTACCTCATAGGATTGTGGTAATGATAGATGACGTAATGTATGTAAAGCACCCAGTTAACATTTACTGAATGCTTGTTATGAGCTGAGCAATATACTAATATGGCTATTATTTGTAAACAGAAGTCATTCTCCACAGTGTTCCATGCAACAAATTGTTCTGACAGTTACTTTAGGACCTAGACTGCCTCAGAACATGAATGGCAGACACTGTGCTATGCTCAAAAACAGTCTTCATGGCCCGGCATGGTAGCTCACGTCTGTAATCCCAGCACTTTGGAAGGCCAATGCAAGAGAATTGCTTAAAACCAGGTGTTCAAGATCAGCTTGAACAACTTGGCGAGACCTCGTCTCTATAATATGTCAAAAAATTAGCCAGGCATGGTGGCACGCCTATAGTTCCAGTTACTTGGAAGTGAAGTGGAAGGATCACTTGAGCCCAGCAGGTCAAGGCTGCAGTGACCATGAGCGTGCCACTGCACTCCAGTCTAGGCGACAGAGTGAGACTCCAACTCAAAAGAAACACACACACACACACACACACACACACACAGTCTTCAGCACAGGTCCAGGCATGACTCTCCTCTGGGACAAACGAAGAGGTATACCACCAGTGCCCAGGAGATAAAATAAATTGTACCTAGTTCATTAATTACATAATCCAGTGCAATAATAAATTATTTCTTTCTAAAGTATCAATTTAAAACTATCAGATAAAAAGAAGAAACAACCCTAAAATTTTAGACCTCTAAGTATTGTTAAGGAGGGTCCCTAATGTGACAAACTCCACTAAGTTTGACTTGCCAACTCTCAAAAGACACAGGTCAAGTCCCTCTTACAGAATGGTGTCTGAAGAGTCACACTTAACCTACTTTAAGAATTTCACTAGGCACGGCGGCTCACGCCTGTAATCCCAACACTTTGGGAGGCAGAGGCAAGAGAATTGCCTGAGACCAGCGGTTCAAGACCAACTGGGTAACTTGGCAAGACCTCATCTCTACAATAAATTTAAAAATTAGCCAGGTGTGGTGATATGCACCTATAGTTCCAGTTCCTTGCAAGACTGAGGAGGAAGGATCACCTGAGGCCAGCAGTAGAGGCTGCGGTGACTGTGAGCATGCCACTACACTCCAGCCTGGGTAACAGAGTGAAACTCCAACTCAAAAGAAAAAAATAAGAATCGAATTTCATAAATTTCTCTGTCCCCTCCCTAAAAAAAAAAAAGAAAGAAAGAAAAAAGAAAAGAAAAAAAGAATTTCATGAATTCCTGAAAACTTGCCCTATAGACATCCTTTCAAGTATATACACATAGGTATATAAACAAAGTTGCTTATTGCAGCAGTGCTTTATATGTATAAAAAATACCTGTAGAGAACAGGGTAACGTAAGTCATGATACTTTTAAAAACAATTGAATAAATCTGTATGTTCTGATATAAAAAATTTTTAATATCAGTAAATTTTAAGTGTCCATATAAAAAATGTCTCTCAGAAGCAAAGAACCAAGTATCACATGTTCTCACTCATAAGCAGACCTTGAACAACTATCGTAATACTATAAGAAAGGTAGTGGAAGCAGTGGAAAACTGCCAGGGGAGGGTGGGGGTGGGATTGGCAGTAGTGGGAAACTGTCAAGGGATGGGGTGGCCACACCTCATCAATCTGCATAATGAACATTTGTATACCTAACCCTGAATTGTACTCCACATCTTTAAAATTTAAAAAAAAAATTTTTTTTAAAGTGTCTCAGCTGGGCTCGGTGGCTCAGCCTGTAATCCCAGCACTTTAGGAGTCCGAGGTGAGTGGATTGCCTGAGCCCGCGGGCTCGAGACCCGCCCAGGCAACTTGGCGAGACCTCGTCTTCTACAATAAATCAAAAACTAGCTGGGCATGGTAGCACGCGCCTGTAGTTCCAGCTACTTGGAAGGCTAAGGTGGAAGGATCACCGGAGCCTAGCAGGTCGAGGCTGCAGTGGCCGGGAGCAGCCACTGCACTCCAGTCTAGGCAGTGAGACTCAAACTCAAAAAATAAAAAATAAAACGTGTCTCGGCCGGTGTAGGGGCTCATACCTATAATCCCAGCACTTTGGGAGATGGAGGTGAGAGAATTGCCTGAGGGGTTCGAGACCACCCTGGGCAACTTGGCAAGACCTCGTCTCTACAATAAAGAAATTAACTGGATGTGATGGCAGGTGCTTATAGTCCCAGCTACTTGGAAGAATTCCCTGAGCCCAGCAGGTCCAAGCTGCAGTAGTGTGAGCATACCACTGCATCCAAGTTGGGTGACAGAGTGAGCCTCCAACTCAAAAACAAAAAAAAAGAAAAATAAACAAGTGGCTGCAGTATGTCCCCATTTATATGTACATGTCAGAGCTTTAAAATACATATACATTTTGTGTTCATATACAAATAATTCTGGAAGTATACATTAAAAATTACAGATGAGAGGGTCAGTGTTTCAGATCTTTTGACTAAACAAACCCCTTGCAAACATTGATTTCCATAAAATTGTGAATAGACATAAAACAAACAAGTATAAATCAATTACATTCATGTTTAGGAATTAAAATGACATCCAAAGCCCCTCACTCCTGATGGTTTTACTTATTTTAAACAATATTTACTATGAAAAAATTCCACTGAAAAAATTTGAGTAACATCTAGAAATTTGTTGTAAGAAGGATGCTGGGGAGATTAACATGGCTACTCCAAATCTGAGAAGGTCTGTGTGTAATGTTCTTTATCTCTTACAAAGAAATCACCCAGAGGTCCAGCGGGAAAAGATATTGGTTTGTTAGAACTTATGAGACTTCATTGGTGGCCCGTCAGTGGAGAAAGAATTCACCCAGAAGACTCCAATGGTGGTAAGTTAATTATTCAACTTGCTAAACGGTGGTTACAGTCACAGGATGCCACTCACATTGTTCTGCACTCTGCTCATTTACCCGCACCTTGTGACTCCTTACTGAGAATGTGCACATCCTGAAAAGACCAGCCAGGATCAGAAGCTGCTCCCAGAGGGAAGGGCAGAAAGAATCCAGACGTAGGGGGAAAGAGTCAATGTCTGGACAATTACCTCACAGGGAAGAAAAATAGATTGGAGATTCATGGTAATTTATTTTACTAAACCTATACTCAGGCTTTTTTGAATTCCTACTATCTTCGAACTGGAGTCGCTATGTTGTTATTTACTTATTTAAGCATCATCCATTCTCTAGTCATGTTCACAAGAAAAGAGAAAAAAGCGCTTATTCTCAGGAGCCTCCAACCTGGGAGAATTGAAAGTTACAAGGGATTATTTAATATGGGGGGAACCCCAAAAACTTGGAATTTATAAGAAAATTGTGTATTTCTTTTTTTTTTGAGTGAAAAATCACCGTATTTATTTTCCTACAAGTAATTTTTCTATAGCTTTAACATCTCCCCCCTCAAAACTAAAAACAAAGAACAAGTCCCAAAGCTCAGAACTGGATCACTTGGCCCTTTCTTTTTTTGTCTCCTCCCAGTTCAAAATGCTTGCATCTCTTAATGGCCAGCATCCTCTTGGATCTGCAGTTAGGCTCAACACATTCCAGCCTTAGTACAATCTTCTTTGTAGTCTTGGCCTTCTTCTGGAAAATTGGCTTTGTCTGCCCACCATAGCCACTCTGCTTCCGATCATAGTGCCCCTTCCCCTGGGCATACAGAGAATCCTTGCCATTCTTATACTGCATCACTTTGTGAGGTTGGTGCTTGCCACACTTCTTACAGAAAGTTCTTTGGGTTTTAGGTACATTGACCACCTCTGCAGTAGAGCTGTGTGTATGATGAACACGGAAAATTCGGCGTCCGAAAACCTGGCTGTATTTATTCTTACATGTTTAAACTTCAGTCACCTTCAAAGGACTCTCCACTTGATGCAATTCTAGCAAGACGCTTCTTCCACTGCTCAAAACAATTTTTGAACTCGTTGATTTTGCTGCCCTTTAATGCTTCAGCGTTTTTTATTTCACCTCTTCCATGTCAGCAAAAATGTTTCCTTTTGAGGACTTTTTTCATCCAGGGAAACAACAACAACAAAAGTCACTTTGGATGAGATTGGGTGAATAGGAAGAGTGGGAACAGGGGTCATGCTGCTTAGGGTCAAAAACCGTTGAACACTCAGCATGGTGTGGGCAGGTGCACTCGTAAATCACCCATCATGATATAGGTAAAAGCATTGAAAGAATCTAAAAAAAAAGTCACTGAAGCCCAATGCAGCCTCTCACAACAATGCTAGCTAATACACTGATGCCTGTGAGTTCTTAGAACACTTAACTAGCAGGGAAAGCCTATGCTACAAGGGACCTACCCTCCAAGAGATAATTCCGGTTTGTTTTGGGTCCCTCCTATATTATTTATATATTCTCTCACTTTAGTTAGTTTGACCAAATCATATTAGAAAGATATCAAGAGCCCCACATAATACAGAAGACACTGTGTTGACAATTGCTTTACACTATAAAATAGCTTAATGAAAACATGAATTGAGTGCATCAATAACTCTCAGAGAAATGTTGCAGTCCTGGTTGGATATGGTGGCTCATGCCTATAATCCCAGCACTTTGGGAGGCCGAGGGGAGAGGATTGCCTTAGTCCACAGATTCAAGACCAGACCGGGCAACTTGGTGAGACCTCATCTCTATAATAAATCAGAAAACTAGCCAGGAGTGGTGGCGCATGCCTGCAGTTCCAGCTACTTAGAAGGCCGAGGTGGAAGAATCGCCTGAGTCCAGCAGGTCAAGGCTGTGATAGCCATGAGAGTACCACTGCACTCCAGCCTGGGTGACAGAATGAGACTCCAACTAAAAAAAAAAAGAAATATTGCAATCCTCAAAATGAAGACCAAAACAATACTAATCTAAAACTATTAAATTGATGGTAGATAAGGAGGTAAGCACAATGAAAGCAGAATAAAAAAGACAGAGATTGAGGAATTAGAGAAGGTTAATAGTTATAAAAATAAAGGTAATGTAAGTATAACCCAACAAATGCATAGAAGATGCATTATTCAAGGATAAAATTCAGGCCAATTACAGTGGCTCACACATGAAATCCCAGCACTTTGGGAGGCTAAGGTGGAAGGATCACCTGAGCCTACAAGGTCAAGGTTTTGGTGACCCATAATGGTGCCACTACATTCCAGCCTAAGTAATTCAAGAAGAGTGATACCCAGACTCAAAAAAAAAAAAATAGCTGGGGTGGTGGTTACTAGCTACTTGGAAGGTTGAGGCAGAAGGATCGCCTGAGCCCAGCAGGTTGAGGCTGTGGTGGCCGTGAGCACACCACTTGCACTCCAGCCTGGACGACAGTGAGACTCCAACTAAAAAAAATTTTTTTTTAAAAATACAATTCAAGGCTGCATGCAGTAGCTCATGGCTATGATCTCAGCACTTTGGGAGGCCATGACAGGAGAACTGCTTGAAACCAAGAATTCAAGACCAGCCTAGGCAACATAGTCAGACCTTGTCTCTACAAAAAAAGCAAAAAATTAGCTGGGCATGCATGCTTTTAATCCCAGCTACTCAGGAGGCTGAGGCAGGAGGATCACTGGCACCCAGGAAGTCAAGGCTGCAGTGAGCCATGATTATAACACTGCATTGCACCCTGGGTGACAGAGTGAGACCCTGTCTATAAAAATAAATAAACAAACAAATAAATAATAAAATATACAACTCAAGAAATATCCCTGAAATGAACCAAAAACTGATTCTGCAGAACAAAATAGCACCTCCAAGAAAATTTGATCTAGAACATTCAAGTCATAGGCAAGCTAATGAGGTTCAAAAATAAACATTTTCCCCCCAGGGCATCAGGATTTTAATGGTAAACCACAAACAAAGGGGGTGGAATATAGGTTGATTCAATGCCAGAAAGAAAAAGGGCTATGGTAGCCAGTCTCCAAGATGACCTTCATGATTTCTCCTGGTATTCATATCCTCATGTGATACCCTCCCTCATTTTAATAAAGTTGGTTTGTGTGACCAACAGCATCCTTCCAAAGTGACAGCATGTCACACCCAAGACCAGCTTATAAAGGACACTACAGCTTCTGTCCTGGTCCACTCTCATTGTCCCTGGACTATCCCTCTGGGGTAAGCCAGCTGCTATGCAAAGGCCAACATTACAAAGCACTGAAGTCTTTTGCAAACAGCCAGTGAGGAAGAGATTACCAATAAAAACCACAAGAGACACTTGGCAGGACCATGGTCCTAGCCCATGGCTTTAATGCAATATCAGGAGAGATATAAGCCAAACTGTTCCCAGATTACTCATCCCGAGAAGCTGTGTACAATAATAAAGATTTGTTGTGTAAAGTGCCTCAATTTTCCAGTAGTAATTTGTTTTGCAGCAATCGATAATTTACATAATTTTCATAAAAGGAAATAAAGTGTGACCCCAAACTAATATACATTGTGAGTCAACAATAATATATTAGGACAGATTCTATTCAATAACAAAAGTAAACATATATTTTCATAATTGAAAAATGTTAGGCAATACAAAATCCATTGAAAGAACTACTTGGTAGCTGGGCGCAGTGGCTCCCGCCTGTAATACCAGCACTATGGGAAACGAAGGCAAAAGGATTGCCTGAGTCCAGGAGTTCGAGACCAGCCTGGGCATCTTGGCAAGACTTCGTCTCTACAATAAAATAAATAAATAAATAAATAAAAAATGAGCTGAGTGTGGTGGCACTCGCCTGTGGTTCCAGTTACTTGGAAGGCTGAGCCAGAAGGATCACCTGTGCCCAGCAAAGAGTGAGCCTGGGCAACACAGTGAGACTCCTACTCAAAAAAAAAAAAAAAGAAAGAAAAACAAAAAGAAAGAAGAACTACTTGGCAAGGAAATCCAGTGAATTAAGAGATTAATCAAAGAAACAGAAATTATGGTGAGTAAACTGGCAGTGAACACTGACTCTTTTTAATTGAAAAAATGATACCAAGTTTCTATGGAAATTTAGATATAGATCAGAAAATAAATGTTAAATATTATACAATGTACAAATAATAGTGACATAAGTAACAAAGTTTAAAGAAATTACAGGAATACTAAAGTCCTCAATCTTTTTCTAGAATGATTGATGTTCATTGATAACTAAAATGCAAAGATTTTATTAAAAAATTAACAGGCGGAAGCTGAGCATGGTGGCTCACGTCTGTAATCCCAGCACTTTGAGAGGCTGAGGCTAGAGGACTGCCTGAGCCCAGGGGTTCAATACCAGCCTGGACAACATGGCGAGACTTTGTCTCTACAATAAATCAAAAAATTAGACGGACCTGTTGGCGTGTCCCTGTAATTCCAGCTACTTGGAAGGCTGAAGTGGAAGGATCACCTGAGCCCAACAGGTCAAGGCTGCAGTGGCCGTGAGCATGCCACTACACTTCATCCTGGGTGACAGTGAGACTCCGACTCAAAAATAAATAATAAAATTTTTTAAAAATAGACAGTCTGACTCCAACTTTTTTGTATTTTTCACAAATTCGTTGTTAACAAGAGAAAACCTTTAGGAAATAGTGTCTTTTCTGGTGAAAAAATATGTTCTTATTTTTCTCTTTTTTTGAGTCAGAGTCTCACTCTGTCACCCAGGCTGGAGTACAGTGGCATATTCATGCCCACCACAGCCTCGACCTGCTGGGCTCAGGCGATTCTTCCACCTCAGCTTTCCAAGTAGCTGGAACCATGGGCATGCGCCACCAGCTAATTTTTTTTATTTATTGGAGAGACGAGGTCTCACCAAGTTGCCCAGCCTGGTCTTGAATCCTTGCTCTCAGGCAATCCTCTCACCTCAGTCTCCCAAAGTGCTGGGATTACAGGCATGAGCCACTGTGGCTGGAAGAAATATGTTCTGGTTTTGAATTTCAAAAATTCCCTTCATTTTATTTGTTTCTTTTTTTATAACAATATTTTTCCACTCAATCATTTGTTTATTCTGTTATAAATTTAAATCAAAATTGTATTTAGAAATAAAATTTATGCTGGGCTCAGTGACTCAAGTCTGTAATCCCAGCACTTTGGGAGGCCGAGGTGAGAGGACTGCCTGAATCCAAGGGTTTGAGACCAGCCCAGGCAACTTGGTAAGACCTCATCTCTACAACAAATCACACACCCACCAAAAAAAACTAGCCGGGCACGGTGGCGTGCATCTGTAGTTCCAGCTACTTGGAAGACTGAGGCGGAAGGATTGCCCGAGCCCAGCAGGTTAAGGCTGCAGTGGGCATGTCACTGCACTCCAACCTGGGTGACAGAGTGAGACTCCAACTCAAAAAAGTAAATAAATAAATAAATTTAGATAATGCAGTATTTATGAATTTTTATTTTCCTTTATTCATCTGCATTATATAGTAAACTATTTCCCAAGACTAAATTCTTTTCTGAAATATTTCTTTTTAGGTCTGCTAAAAGTCTGTCATATGAAGTTGTTTACTTAACTGTTTCCTTCTTATTGCACAAATCTTTTCTAAAATCTCATTTTTTTATTTTTTTGAGTCAGAGTCTCACTCTGCAGCCCAGACTGGAGTGCAGTGGCACGCTGACGGCCACCGCAGCCTTGACCTGCTGGGCTCAGGTGATCCTTCCTCCCCAGTCTTCCAAGTAGCAGGAACTATAAGTGTGTGCCACCATACCTGGCTAATTTTTTGGTTTATTGTAGAGACGAGATCTCACCAAGTTGTCCAGCCTGTTCTCAAACCCCTGGGCTTAGGCAATCCTCTTACCTCCACCTCCCAAAGTGCTGGAATTACAGGCTTAAGCCACCACGCCTGGCCTAAAATCTCATTTTTATGGAAGTTCAGAAAGCACCCTTGTAAAATGTGTCTGCATATCCATATTT